ACCTGCACTCTTTGATTATGAAGCCAGTTGTTTACCACGTGCAGAACCCCTTAAAAAGACGTGGCTTGGATGTCAGCAAATGTTGCTCTAAAACCTGTATGTAGCTTTCAGCATTAACGCTGCCTTCATAGATGTGTAAGTTATCCATGCCATGGGCACTAACATCCCCCCCACCCCAATACCACCAGAGAGGCTGGCTTTTGTACCTTGCACTGATAACAATCCGGGCAATCCTTTTCCTCTTTGGCCCAGAGGACACAGGGTCCATGATTTCCAAAAACAATATCAAATATGGACTGGTCATTGGTGTTTCTGGTCATCTTGGCTTTGCATGGTAGAGTTTTAACTTGCACTTGTAGATGTCGCAACGAACTCTAAACACTGACAATGGTTTTCTTTAGTGTTCCTGAGCCCATGTGGATATATATACATTACAGAATGATCAAAAGGGAAAAAAATTGTATAGGTCCTCTGGACGGGTTCTTCTTTAATGAAACGTTTCGTCTCTCTTCCAAGAGACTTCTTCAGTCTGAGAGTTTCAGGCAAAATTCAGGCTTTTGAGTCCTGCCTCCATGTTACTGATACTCACATCACATGGCTTCACATAGGTCACTACCCCAACAAAATATGACAATTTTCATCTTTTTAGTGTGTGRGTTAGGGTGGGTCCAYCATGCACACCCCACTACTGAACTTCTCAGGTGTTTTCATATACCCTAGGGTCATGTTAACAGAAAAAAATTGCGTCTCACTGCACTCCAGGGACCGCTTTGGCCACACCCCTTTCCCACTGTGGTCATCAAAATTAGGGGTACATGGTCCTTAACTACCAATAACTTTGCTATAAACCAACCAAATTTTAAAAACAAGGTATCAGTGATTCATATTGATTAGCTCTTCACTTTAAATGGCATTTCATTAATCAAATTTGCGCTCAATTATGTCGTCGGGGGGGTCAAAATGTCACTACCCCAACAAAATATGACAATTTTCATAATTTTAGTCTGTAGATTAAGGCGGGTCACCATCCACACCCCACTACTGAACTTCTCAGGTGTTTTCATGTACCCTAGGGTCCACTCTTTCAAAAAAAGCATGTTAACAGAAAAAAATTGGGTCTCACTGCMCYCCAGGGACCGCTTTGGCCACACCCCTTTCCCACTGTGATCATCAAAATTAGGGGTACATGGTCCTTAACTACCAATAACTTTGCTATAAACCAACCAAATTTTACAAACAAGGTATCAGCAGATTCATRTTGATTAGCTCTTCGCTTTAAATGATTTTTCATTAAACAAATGTTYGCTTGATGATGTCATCAGGGCGGTCAAAATGTCACTACCCCAACTCTGTGCCTTCTCATGCACMTAAGGATCCACTTGTTTAGAAAAAAGTCTGTTAACAAAATAAAAACTGTAGGTACTACTCCMCAGTGACCCGTTTTTGACCACACCCCTACTTATTGTGTGCACAGTTCAGAATTTCCAGGATGTCAAACGTGCATGTAGATTTACCATGTCAGAATGGAATGTCATAAATCTGGTGTTGAATGGTAGACATTGTCATGGTATTTCATTTAGATGTGCTTTTGTTGATTATTTATGCAACAGACCATGTTACCAGCCAGGCATTAAAGGTAACACATTTGATTATTGGTGAACATTCAGAAACAAGTGTTTGTTAAAAMTGAAAGGCTTTCACAGTTATTCTTTGATTAGCTTGAACTTCAACCAGTTCTAAAGAAGAATTGATGTAAAATTGGAGAAAATGTTTCAATTTAATACAGCTTTATGTCTAATAATATACCATACAGAGCACAAGTAAACTCCACACGCAGAAGAGTGCATCATCTATGTCTCATTTGTCTCCAAACCTACCAAAAGCTTCTTGGTAAGTCTCATTGTTCTGAAGGAGCTTCGTGCCTTTCGCTTTCCCTTTTCCCTTAAAGGCACTTGTACTGTCACATTCTGTGTAGGCATATAGACCTAGCAGAGCAGAACACATTTTTGGTGAGAAGGATTGAGTTAGCCCTGTAACATGTATGCAGCAATTGAATTTTCCTCAGTTGTAGCCACATACCTACTGACATTTGTTCTGACCACCTTGGTC